TAATTTCTTTTGGAAGATCATTCCAAAAACTAAACCAAAATTTAGGAAAAGCATTTTCGCCAGACACCCGTTTACAAGACGGTTCTTAGTGCGATAACTTTCAGACCTAAGGCCACCTCTACCACAATTACAGATGTTAATAAAATCGTTCAGATAACCAGGTGCTTGATTATTCACACAATTAAAAACACGTAATAAAACCTTAAAAACATTCTGCTCTTTACAGGTAGCCAGTGTAATTCATTTAGTTGAGGTACTGCACAAACGGACCTATTAACTTGAAAAGTTTTTTTGTAGAAATCCCAACTAATAGTGAATTACAGTAATCCAATCATGATAAAACCAATGACCTTGTGGCTTCAGTACAAGTTTTATTATCAAGAAATTTGCAAATTTTTGATAATCCCCTCAAATAAAAATTAACAGTACGGCAGATAGTATCAACATGAAACATCATATAAAATTAAGGTCAAATATTACACCAAGATTTCTGACTGTGTTGGATGGCTTGAGAGTAGTGTTGCCAATGATCAGTTCAATATGCCTATTACTAACATCAATCTTAGGTGGAGATAGGACTAACAGTCTTTGATTTATTAATTTAAGTTTATTTTCACACATCCAAAAACTAAGATCCTCTATGCAGTTTTTGATCCTAAACATGGCAACCTGCAGATCACCTGGTAGTTTAGGATCAAAACTAGTGTATAATTGGATGTCATCTGCATAAAGATAAGTCATGACGTTTAATTACATTTGCAATAGGTTGTGTGTATGCTACCCAAGTCTGTTACATACTCATATTATATATGTATATTTTGTATATATTTTATATAGAAAAACTTATCTATTTGTTTTATAATGTATTTACAATGCATGCAGCTAATAATAAACTTATTTGAACATTAGTAATATTTTTCTGTGCATGAAGAGACCCACTGGCAGTGACTTTAAGGAAACAATGAATAATGTAGTATATGAAAACCTCAAATACTAAACTTCAACTGACAGGAAATTATCAAAAAAACGAATGGACTATAAAAGTAAACTGAAGATAAAAAAACTCATTTAGCATTCCTGGAAACAAACAATAGATCTCTAACAAATTCGAAAATAACTATTATACCATAGTTATTATTTATACTTACCATGGAAGGACATACATTTAATATTATACTGTTGCTTGCTTGTTTAGAATTAGCTGCTGTTAATAATCTGCAATTTCTGGAAGTGACAACTGGATCTGCAATAATTTTTGAAGGTTCATATACCCAAATTAACTGCTCAGTACAGAATCTTGAAGAATACTGGCGCTACGAAAAACAATTCCACCAAAGGGAACACTACAAAAGCTACCACCCAAGGGGACACTACAAAAGAAAATACCACCAAAAGGAAACTTACCAAGAGTACCTTATCTCATGGTATAGAGAAACAACAGCAGGTAACAGGAAAGAAATATACAGGAATGGCAAGCTGATAACAAATGATCTAGGTCGAGAGGCAGAAGCTTACTCACTTCACCAAAACTATACTCTAAGAATAATGCAAGTGACAGGTCGTGATCTTGGTCATCTTCTTGATGGCAACAATTACACCTGTGAAGTAATTCTATATTATTATGGAATGCTGGAATCCCGGCTGGTATCAAGCGGTCTTACCCTAGACGCTCGCTTTCTTCCTTCATCTTTGTATCCTATCTGTGAAACATGTTATTTTTCATCTGAATTGATTGGCTCAAATGTCACTGTCTCTTGTTACTCTGAGCTTGGTAATCCACCTGTCCAACTGCAATGGTCAAAGAATGGACAAGCAATTGAAAACCTAAAGACAATCATGATTCATTCTTACATATACTTGAATTATACATTCATTCTTAAAGCAGATGACTTAGAAAGTACCTTCTTTTGTACTAACGGAATAAACAGCTGCAACTTTGCAGTAATAATTTCCTCTGTCAACTCTGATGCTCCACAAATATCTGTTGTGGATGATGTGGATACCAGCATGTGTCAATCATCTGCCACTATTATTCTCCTATCTGTCACCGTAGCAGTTCTCCTAACAATTGAAACAGCTGTTAATATACATCTTTTCAGAAAGTTGCAACAGTGCAAAAAGGCCACTAAAGGTACAGTAATCACAACCACTATTGTATCAGATCAAACACCCGACTACAATAATGTTCAACAATCGACTGATAACAGAGGTTTGGAAACATATGCAGACCTGATGCCTAGAGAAGAAGCTATCTACAGCTCATTACAGAACCCTCAACACAAACAGGACATCAAAGGTCTGGAAATGATCACCACTGTACCAGACCCAGTTCCTGATTACATTAATGTCAAAAAATTCACTGCTAACCGTAAGATTTATAGTAATAACAGACGTTGGGGAACATGTAGATCTGCAATCAAACTTCCATAGAAATTCATCAATTCACATCGATTTCTGATTTTAAATCTCAAATACTTCATTTCCAGTTACTAATTTCTTTTATACTAATTTTATTTACAGTTGAAAATCCATTTCAGTTAAAGTTACTTTTGTTTTTGTTTTATGGTAATGCAAGTTTAATTTTTTTGCATCTGTTGTATATGATGATGGGATAAGAGCAGTTTTCTGTTTGGGTTCATACCCATTTCTAGCAAGATTGTACTTTACTTTGCCAAAAAATAATATACAATAATAATAACAACAACAAAAATACTAATGGAACCTTTTAACACACATTTAAAGAAAGATTTTAAAATTAAAGTAATTTATCAATGTCTCATGAATGAATGAAAGAATTGATTTTAACTTATTTTAAGAATTTTAAACATTGAATTTGAAATATTATATATTCATTTTTATGCATATGTTTAGCATGTTTTATATGTTTTATTGTTTTACTGATTTAATATTTCATTGTATGTGTGTGTATTTAAAAAATTTCTGTACATTTAAATTCATGTTTTCCTATTGTAATGTTTATTTGTGTTCAGTGCTTCTGAATAAATTCAAATCAAATAACAATAACAATAATTAATTCATTATTATTATTATTATTATTATTATTATTATTATTAGCTCCTTGCAGGACCCTAACATCAGTAACTGTAATGAACTGAATGTTCTAACAAAATCTACATGCATCTGAAAAAAAAAGAATTCAGTAAACTATATAGGAGTTGACCAAGTATCAATTACTGTATATATAAAATGGCAAATTACTCCTGCTTTTAAAAAACTATGATATATAAATTGAGTTGGCATACACTGCTTTATGGTGTAGTGTGTAGCATATAGTTTGGATTAGTGGCATTGTAATTACAGACATACAATTAAACTCATGCTAAGTAATATGCTATGTATGCTATTTGCTGTAGTTTATAGGTGTGAACATTAAACATTATGCATTGCTGATGTTTCTTATTCAATGATATTTTAAATACATACAAAGAATAGAATATTAGAAGATAGGATCGAAAGTCAATTACTAAACTAACCAAGTGCAGGATACCATACTTCTAGGTTTCATTAGTCTAGGATATTTTGTGTAGGATAGCTGTCAATTAAATGTGAAACAATACATTATACAGCAACCCGAATTGGTTTCATGTTAAAAACGAATATACTTTATTATAAGCTACTTTAACTATTTTCTCTATGTTCTTCCTCATGTAACAAAATGACAAACATCCTTCTCCATAACATAGACGCAAAACCCATATCAACATTTTTTTTCAGTTAAAAAAAAAACTTACCTAATTTTGTTAGACTAATTCTAATGTCTTGTTAAAACTTAGATCTATCACCTTAGGAATTACATTACATTAACATTTCTATTTAATGTCTCATAAACCTATAGGTCAGACGCGGCCATCCCAAAGCAAAACAATGTTGACATTTTTGTTGATTTTGAGATAATATTATTTGGGGGTATTAAACTGAATTTCATGTAAAAATTTCAGGTCTCAATAATGAGTCGTTTCGGAGATAGCACCATCTATCTTTAAGCACAAAACGATTACGCGGCAAACAACGTATCTACTATGAAGATACATTCTTTGTCTTGGAATGTATTCAAATATTGTCTTGAAATGATTATATTTCTTTATACAACGGTAAAAGATAATGTTTTGTCTCATCTTTCTTTTCTTCTCCTCTCTTCTTTCTTCTGTAATCTCTTTTGAATTTGTCCTTCCCTTGTCATTTATTTTAAGAATGTTATCCTAGGGAGTATATTCTACACGTTTTTTTGTTTATGAATTGTTATATATAACGTTTTATATGTTTATTGAATAAAGGTGGTTTTTAATAATACAAATCAAGTAGTCAAATACAATGATGTTTGTAACATAAGATAAATGTTCATTATATAATTTAAATTTACTTTTATATGACATTAACAATACAAAACTTAGCCTTTGACAATAATTACTGGGAAACCATACAAAATTATGATAAAGTTATGTTTATGAATTGTTATAATATGTTTTATATGTTTATTTTAAATAAAAGTGGTTTTTAATAATACAAATCAATTAGTCAAATATAATGATGTTTGTAACATAAGATAAACGTTCATTATAATTTAAGTTTACTTTTATATGATATTAACAATACAAAACATAGCCTTTGACATTAATTAATGGGAAACCATACAAAATTATAATAAAGTTAAAATTTTAATATAAAATTATAGCTTGCTTCAAACTAGTAAAAGTGCTAAGAGGGTGTAATGAAAACAATCACAGTTTTCAAATTGCATTAAGAGGTATGATCAGTATTATTATATTATATATGTATGTATGTATATATATATATATATATGTATAAATACATATATATGTATATGTATATATGTATATGTGTATGTATATGTGTATGTATATGTATATGTATATGTATATATATATGTATATATATATGTATATATATATGTATATATATATATATATATATAT